TTTCTGGGTGCTGCCTTGCACAGTCCCATCACAAAGAACAAGTATTCAAACAAACATTCACACATGGAGGCTATATGTGGTGCGTCATGCTCATAGGTGGAACAGGGAGTTATTCATTCATGGAGAGGGCTTGGTCACTAGGAGAGGTATCTCTCAGAAGGACATTGCCAGAACCCAAGTCCTCAGTGCTCTTGCAGTACCTTTTACATCACTTAAATTAGGGAATACATAATTAACATCATCTGCTAGAATCTGGCTTTTCCAATATTCCTTTTTTAAATAATCAGGTAAAAGAATATTTCTCTTCTGCCAATTTATCTACTGTGCTTGTATTTTAGATGCTTTCATGTGAGTCCAGTTTGTCAACTTTCCAATAAGACTTTATTTTTTAAAGATAAAAAGCAGTGTCAACCACAGGACTGATCAAATTTTTACGTAATTATTTTGGTTTAAAATAACAACAACTAAATTTTGTCATTGTACATGAAAGTACACCAGACCAAAGATCATAGAATCATAGAATGGTTTGAGTTGGAAGTTACCTTAAAGATCATCTAGTTCCAACCCTCCTGCAGGGGCAACCTGTTCCAGTGTCTCACCACCCTCAGAGTGAAGAATTTCCTCCTAATGTCTAACCTAAATCTCCCCTCTTCCAGGTTTGATCCATTACCCTTTGTCCTCTCACTGCAAGACCTTGTAAAAAGTCCCCTCCCCAGCTTTCCTGTAGGCACACTTCAGGCACTGGAAGGTGCTCGAAGGTCTCCCCAGAGCCTTCTCTTCTCCAGGCTGAAGAGCCCCAACTCCCTCAGCCTGTCTTCATAAGAGAGGTGCTCCAGCCCTCGGATCATCTTTGTGGCCTTTCTCTGGACTTGCTCCAAGAGCTCCATGTCCTTCTTATGTTCAAGGCTCCAGAACTGGACACAGTACTCCAGCTGGGATCCCATGAGAGCTGAGTAAAGGGTGAGAATGGCCTCCCTTGACCTGCTGGCCACACTTCTTTTGATGCAGCCCAGGACACAGTTGGCTTTCTGGGCTGCACGTGCATATTGCTGGTTCATGTGATCTTCTTGTCCACCATCACTCCCAAGTCCTTCTCGTCCTGTTTTTGATTCGTTCTCCACCCAGTCTGTGTTTCTGCTTGGATTGCCCCAACCCAGGTGCAGGACCTTGCACTTGGTCTGGTTGAATTTCATCCAGTTTGCATGTGCTCACTTCTCAAGCCTGTCAAGGTCCCTCTGGATGGCATCCCTTCCCTCTAGCATGTCAACTTCACCACACACTTTGGTGTCTTCAACAAACTTGCTGAAGGTGCACTCAATTCCACTGTCCATGTTAGCAACAAAGATGTTAAATAGCAGTGGTCCAAGTACCGACTCTTGGGAAAAAAACACCATCACCCAACAAATGAACCATCCATCAGATCTGTACTGTTCCAGTTTTGATAGCAGGACGTCATGCAGGACAGTGTCAAAGGTTTGCACAGGCCCAGGTAGATGACATCAGTTGTTCTTGCTTTGTCCAGCGATGTTGTGACCCCAGTGTAGCAGGCCACCAAATAAGTCAGGCAGGATTTAGCCTTGGTGAAGCCATGCTGGCTGTCATCAATCACCCCTTTGTTTTCCACATGCCTTAGCAGAGTCTTCAGGAGGATCTGCTCCATGATCTTGCAGGTTCCAGTCAGTGGGAATTTCTCCAGATTGCCAAGACTTTTCAAATTATGAGGGACAGAGGCTTTGTGACTTTGTTGGCCAGTTCCTTCAGGAGCCACAGATGGACCCCACCAGGTGCCATGGACTTGTGCACCTTCACATCCTTCAGAGGGTCATGAACCTGCTCTTCTCCTACAATGTTGAGATCTTCCTTTTCACAGTTCATGTCTTTGCCTTCTTGCTCAGTCCACTCTGCTCTGCCTAACAGGATCAGTAGCAGATGCTTAGGAAAAATAAGAAAGAAGTTAAATATGTTACTGTGGTGGATTATTTTAACCTACATGGTTAGAAATTCCAATGAGCTGGTTCTTATGGATTTCCTGATCTGAAAGCCATGTGTACATCACTGTTTTTAATAGCTGTTTCTGGACCTTTCTTAAATGAATTCAGACAACAACTTCTAATCTTTTTATCCTTATGTTTTTCAAAACTTCTTGTGGAAACTATTTACACAATTAAATTATGTATATTTGCTTTGTTTTGATTTTAAAACTGCTTCCAAATAGTTCAGTTGGGTTCTCCCTTTGTTCTTTCTTTAGAAATAATAGAGAATATCCATTCTCATCTCACCTTTGCAAAATAGTAATTTTTTTTTAATTTCTAGCAAATCTCCCCAGTTTTTGCTAAGATTAAGAATATACCCCTTTATTTTACTAAACTATTTTGTAAGATAGGGGGTCCTACACACAATATTTAGGGATGAGCAGATCAAGGATAGTTTACACAACACAACAGTACAGTCCTGTTGACTGAATCATCAGAAGCATGAAGTCCCACTACCAAAAAGCCCTTTACCAATATGTCTACTGCAAGTGAGCCAGTTCATCACACACCATAATCAGTAGTTTTGCAACTTCAGTTTCAATATTATTATTAGTAGTAGTAATTATTATTTCTTTATCTATTTATTTATTATTCAGTTTATTCCTGTAGAAAACTCTTTGATTGCTGTTTCAGATATTAGCCTTATTCTTTTGGATTATCTGTTTTAAATGTAGATCTGTGACAATTCCTCCAGCTGACCCTTCAGTAAGTTCCCCTGTAATAAACTCTACTCCAAATAAGCAAGCACTTAATTTTTTTACTGTATTATTAGATTCCTTGAGTAAAAGTTGTCCTTTTGTATCTCACTTACTAGTCAGCTCCACAGACTTTTTAGGAGCCTTCCTTCTCATCTCTGTTTAAAAGAAGATGGCATTGATCTTTCTTAAAAGTGTTGCATGAGGAGCTGAAGAAGTATTTTCTTACAGGTGGCATTTTGGGGGATATCTTATAAATGGCCTGTTCTGAGTTCTCCCTACATTATTTTTAAAGAAGCTCCTTTTGCCTGGAAAGTTTCTACCCTTTCAGCTGCTCCTTTTAATCTCCTTTTGGAGAATTCTTAATTTTACATAGTTCCTTTTTTACTTATACACTAGTATAAGTAAACAACACAATTTTTTTAGATTTTGAACTTATGCCACTATTGAATAGTAGCTTTTTGAGTGGCTGCTTGGAAAAGGACCAAGAGTTCTCTTTTTTTTTCTTTTTTTTCCTGTGGGGTCTCTGATTACTTGCTCCAAGCAATAGTTTATAAATACGTTACAATAGTTTACAAATTTAGTTTCTGTGTCAAGCCCTGAGGTAACACTCCTCCAGTTTCCATATAAATTACTGATGTTGGTCACTTATTTTCTTCTCTCTTACTGTCTCTGGTATTTCTTAGCACACCTCTGTCAACTTCCAAATCAAGTGGCTAGTAGCATTGCTCTAGCACTGCACCCTTTCTATGCAGGAACAGTGTTTAAATCCACACAGTTTCTGTATTACCTTTCACTAAGTTTGGCAGACAACAACATTTCTTAGTCCAAGAAAGTCTGAGTTCAAATCTTGCACATTTCAGGATGGTAACCTGGCTGCTCAGGTTTCTTTTTTAATAAAATGCAGAGGTAGACCCTAAAGTATCCAGTAAGGAAAATCCAGTACTTGTCATTCTCAATATTCTTTTGGTTCAAGCCTGATCTCTGGACTATCAGCCCAGGTCCCTTCTTCTGAAATGCTCTCTGGCCTCAAAAATTTTGCATGCTTGGCTACACATTTGGCCCATTTCAAGAGAGACCACTAATATAATTTCACCATTGCTCAAGTGTGTTAAAGGAGCATTACATGGAAACCCAAGTTAGGAGAGGTGTACCTCCAGACATACTGAAGCAGTTAGGCACAGATTTTGTGACTTGTTGTGTACCAGTTTAGGCACAGAACTGCATGGATTTCTACCTTGGTTATATATTTACTAACTGTCAAGATGAATATATCAGTGTCTAGGCTGGAAAGTATGTCCCTGTCAAATCCATACTGGAGAAGTCCCAGTCTCCTTTGGAGCACAATAGCCACATTCACACTAAGTTTTGCAAGAGTATCCTGTGGTACAGCACTGCATACTTTCATGTCTCACCAACACAGGCATACATATCTTATTACTATCATTATTCTTCCAGT